AGAGAGAGAGAGAGAGAGAGAGAGAGAGAGAGAGAGAGAGAGAGAGAGAGAGAGAGAGAGAGAGAGAGAGAGAGAGAGAGAGAGAGACAGAGAGAGAGAGAGACAGAGAGAGAGACAGAGAGAGAGAGAGACAGAGAGAGAGAGAGGCCCTAGCCCAGTGATGGCGAACCTCTTCGAGAGTGAGCACCCAAGCTGCAACCCAAAACCCACTTATTTATCGCAAAGTGCCAACACTGCAATTAAACCTGAATACTGGGCTTTTAGTTTAGAAAAAAACGACTCAGATTAACATCATTTGTCTTAAAAGAAAAACACAGTAACAGAGCTTTCAATGATACAGATAGCTTTTTATTGAAAGGTAAATGTTTGCATTTGGCATGCTTGTGCACAATTGCTGTGATCTTTGCTGTTGTATGCATGCTGCTAATTTGTCAAACCTTGGCTCATACTTAGTTTTTTCACAGCAATACAAGTAGCACCCAGGTCTCCTGTTAGTCTGTTTCTTGTATAAGATTTGATGTGATTCAAAGCTGAAAACAGCTGCTCACAAGCATAAGGTGATGCAAAGAAAAGCAATCCCAAGCGCCTTCATTGACTTAAAATGATTTGACAGAGAATCCCACATTTTAAGGATTTCTTGTTCAGAACTACCGACTGTGCTGACCTTTGTCATCCATTCAGATTCTGTCTCCTCAAGTGTCTGTCATATTCGGGTCATAGAATTCATTTCTCCAGATAGAACTTTCTTGAAATTCCAAAGCTCCATTTCCAAAATCTAACCAGTGTGGGCAGGAAAGGTCAAATTCTTCACATTTGGCTTTGTCTAGAAGAAAACATAAGGTTGCTGTTATCTTAAGGAACTGCAAAAATCTGTGACTAAAATTCTTTTAGCCGGGTGTGGTAGCACACGCCTGTAATCCTAGCACTTGACAGGCTGAGGCAGGTGGATCAACACGAGTTCAAGGGCAGCCTGGACTACATAGTGAGTTCAATGCCAGGCTGAACTACTAGTGAGACCCTGTTTGTTTTTTAATCTCCTTTGCAGCTTCTACAATGCTAGAACATTACTTGTAGATTTCCCGGTAGGATTGTCTACAAATTGTAGAATTTTCTAAATGCAATTTTAGATTTGGAAAATTTTTCAGCTGCCTACTTTCAAGATCTGGGGCAACTTGGTACATGTGGCAACAGAGAGAGGTCTGTGTGCCCACTGTGGCATGCAAGCCAGAGGTTCGCCACCACCCTCCAGACCTTGTGTCAAAAAAAAGGGAAGGGAGAAGAAAGAGGCGGTGCCGGAATTCCTGGAACAGACCTGACCATCTCCTTGATTAGCCTCTCCCTCCCTCTTCCCCCTCCCCCTCCCCTCCCCCTCCCCC